ATAGACATTGTGCTTTGTATTTTTTAAAACAACCCTCATTTCCCAACTTTTAAGTTGGGAATTCCTCTCTATTTTCTCTTTTTCCTTTTTATGCTTTGGTTTGGAGCTTATGAATCAAGTTTTCCGGCGATATTGTTTCAAGTAAAGTTTCGAGCTTTTCACTCTGGTTTTCTTCCCAAGTGCGTGTGAGAGTGGGTACTTAGTCTTGAGCCCAATTACTTCGTATATCGTTATTTGCTTTTTGTGAAAATTGATATTGTGCTTGTATTGCTTGGAGGAAAAAATTGAATCTTTAGATCGTGAATGCTTGACTAAGTGTGATTAGGAGTTGAATGCTTGCTCGTCTTGTGCTAGAGTTGGGTTTAGCTTCCTAGGGTTTTAGCTAGCATGGCAATGTTCGGTTATTTACGTGTGATTGATCATGGAGACTCCGGCGAACCAAAATGTCTCTTTCCCCCTTGATTTCTCTCATCTTTTTGTGTGCTTTAACTGCTTTCAATGCCCTCAATTTCGTAGATTAGTTTAGCTTAAATCAATCCCTTTCAAGTGAGTAGAATGTGTAGGACCTTCTTTTCGGTTGTGTGACTTTGACGACTAGGTAGTGAACAAAGCTCCGAAGAGCCTTCCTTTGAGAACGACCCGAGTCGAGTAGCTCGGTTACCACATGCCCAAAAATACTACAAACAGTAGGATTAAGCATTCTGGGTCCTTTGCCTTGTTATTGTCGAATGTTACAAGTCTATTTCAGGTTAGTAGGTTTTGTCTAGGTCACTATTTGTGTACCTCTAGTCTATCTTGTGGTAGTTGATAGCTTGCTATCGTCCTAGTTGTACTATACTTTTTGAGCTATAAATCCTATCATTTCGATAAAAAATAAAATCTCTTTTTTTTTTCCCATTTTTTCCCCTTTCCTCCTCACAACACAAATTACTGACACTAGTCCAAGTACATTCAATTTTTCTATACACCAAACAATAAACAACTAATAAAACCTATTTATGAAATATTCACACACTAGAGCTGAAAAATTGTTTAACGACAAGCCTTCAGAGGTTGTGGGTTTACGAGTTTAGATGAGTTTGATTGGAATAAAGGATGGATGATGACTAGTTCAAAAAAATTAATCGACGACATGAGCCAAGGATTGACGATCTCACGGTACCAATGGATTTGACAACCATAAATATCTATTTTCATTATGAATATGTATATTTTTTTTTTCAAAATATTTACTTTCGACCAGGTCCTTTTTTTATTTAATTTAATATAGTTATAGAATAAAAAATAATTTATAGTACACATCTTCCAATAAATTACAACTAGTATCCGTGTGCATTTGAACATATATAAATAAAATATTATAAGTTATTTATATGCATATAATTTTAAAATTATAAGTTAAATAATAGCATTATATTTTAAACATAGAGTATTATAAATTATATTTATTCATTTATATTAATATTATAAGTTAGAAAATGGTATTATGCTTTATTTGATCATTGGTTAAGATAAATAGTACAATAACGATTTGATTGCATATTTACATATGAGTTATTATATTGATTTCATAAAATTTAATAAATAATGTAATTTTATTTTATTTTTTTAAAATTTTGAGTGATCATGAACAATGAATTAGCTCAAAAAATTATTGTTATTATAACAATTGCTTATGTGATTTTAATAAGGAATTTTACTATGACATTAAAACAATTTAGATTATCAAAAATAGTTGCTTACTCAGATAACAAATATAATATTGATATAAATTACTTGAACAAAAATTCCTTACAATATTATTTTTTATGCTTATGTAAATTACATATATCATTTAGTGTAAACTTGAATTATTAATTCTAATAATAACTATTATATGATACAATAAAAAATATAATTATTATCCTATTAATATAAAATGTAACAATTTTTATCTTAATTAACCAAAGAAAGGGCAAGAAAATATTTGATCATTTATCAGATAGTGTGGATTATTATAATAATAATAATAGTAATAATAATAATAACAATAATAATAATAATAACAACAACAACAACGAATTGTATCAGTTATTGGAGGAAAAACGTCACATAGGTAAACTTTATTAGTTTTTATTTAATGATTTTCCAGCAATTATACATATATATAGATTGCACGAATAGATGATGGGAGGACAACATATACTGCATGAATAGCAGTAAATAATATTAAATTGTTAACTTTGGTACCTAAATGTTTTTGTACCATAAGAAGTAACTTTAATATAATATGTTAGGAATTTTATTATTATTATTTTCAATTTTAATTGTTTTTAATAGAGGTTACAAAAAAAAAAAAAAGAAATAAATAAAGGATGAAAATACTTTGAAAAATCAAGAAGACGTTACTATTTATAATAAATAAATAAATAAATAAATAAATAAATGCTTTAATATATAATAATTATTAGTAATAACCATAGAAATGTTATGATATTGATAAAGTAATAAAACTTACCATATTGAGCTCAAAATGCATTTGAGCGGTAAATGATGGAGAGTTTTATTAAATATCCTGCTAGTAATTATATATATTAGTATGGCACCTGCGCGTTGCGCGGTATGATGTTA